GCACGCACCGGATGTCTCTGCATCCGTCCACTGCTCCACTGCGTGCCCCTTTGCCTTCTCCTCCTGAGTCCTCTCTTCCTGCTCTTCCCGACCCGGAGTCGGACTCGCTTCGTGCTGCCAGTCCTACTGTCACGCGTCTCCTTGCCACTGTCGTCACTGACCCTTCCTTTGAGTCCACTACTGCGTCTGCCCTAGTTGCTGAGCTCGTCGACTTTGCTGCTCGCTGTCGTCTAGACTACGCTGCTAGTCTTATCGCTGAGTCTGAGTCTGTCTGTCCTCCGTCCGTCGGGGGTGAGTGTGCCTTTGGCACGGACGTCCTTGAGGAAAGGCAGGAGGAGTTTCAGTGTTTGGCTGCTACTTCACCTCACCTCGTGTCCGTACTGCTTACCCCTGAGGGAGACCCGGATGCACTTGACATCCCGACTCCGCGCTCTTACGCAGAGGCGATAGAGGGTCCCTACTCCTCTCAGTGGCAGGAAACTATGGACATAGAGATGGCTTCCTGGAAGTCCACAGGCACCTACATTGACGAGGTCCCCCCGCCTGGGGCGAACATCCTCAGTGGCATGTGGATTTTCAGGGTGAAGCGGCCGCCGGGTTCTCCGCCTGTCTTCAAGGCGCGTTACGTGGCTCGTGGCTTCAGTCAGCGGCAGGGAGTTGACTACTTTCAGACCTTCTCTCCCACCCCGAAGATGACCACTCTTCGGGTACTGCTCCACGTAGCTACTCACCGTGACTACGAGCTGCACTCTCTTGACTTCAGCACTGCTTTCTTACAGGGCAGCCTGCACGAGGAGATCTGGCTGCGCCGCCCACCTGGCTTCACTGGGTCTTTTCTTCCTGGCACCCAGTGGAGCCTCCGGCGGCCAGTCTACAGTCTCCGCCAGGCACCGCATGAGTGGCACGACACACTGAGGACTACGCTTGCGGCTCTTGGGTTTGCTCCTTCTACTGCCGACCCGTCGCTGTTTCTGCGCACCGACACTTCTCTGCCGCCGTTCTACATCCTCGTGTACGTCGACGACTTGGTCTTTGCCACAGCTGACACTGCTGGACTCACCCACGTGAAGTCCGAGCTGCAGAAGAGACACACGTGCACTGACCTGGGTGAACTGCGCAGCTACCTTGGCTTGCAGATCACCCGGGACAGAGCACGCCGCACCATTACCCTGACTCAGTCACACATGGTGCAGCAGGTCCTTCAGCGCTTCGGCTTCACGTACTCCTCGCCTCAGGCCACTCCTCTGCCTACTCGCCACTCGCTCTCAGCTCTGCCTTCGGATGAGTCCGTAGAGTCGAGTGGCCCGTATGCAGAGCTTGTTGGCTGCCTCATGTACCTGATGACCTGCACACGACCTGACCTTGCATACCCTCTTAGCATTCTCGCACGCTATGTTGCTCCTGGGAGACACCGACCAGAGCACATGGTTGCAGCGAAGAGGGTGTTGCGCTACTTGTGCAGTACGTCGGGCATGGGGCTAGTGCTTGGAGGGCGGAGTCCAGTAGTCCTCACTGGGCACGCGGACGCTTCTTGGGCTGACGACCAGGCTACTCAGCGGTCGTCACAGGGTTACACGTTCAGCCTTGGTTCCGGCTCTGTTTCGTGGCGGGCTACTCGCTCGTCTTCTGTTCTCGGCTCCAGTTGTGAGGCTGAGATCTACACCGGAGCCATGGCTGCACAGGAGCTTCGCTGGATCACCTACCTGCTGGCTGACCTCTGAGAGCCGCCTCGTTCTCCTCCAGTGCTGTACGTAGACAACAAGGCCATGCTGGCCTTGTGTCGAGAGCAGAGACTGGAGCACAGAACGAAGCACATTGCTCTTCACTACTTCCTTGCTCGTGAGCTACAGCAGCGTGGTCAGCTGCATCTTGCGTACGTGGCCTCTGAGGCCAACACTGCTGATATCTTCACCAAGGCGCTTGCGCCTTGTGATCATCAGCGCTTCTGTACTCAGCTGGGTCTTGTGCCTGCCTTGCCTCACTTGCTCACCTTTTGACCTTGCTTGTACTGTTGAATATATATATACACCTGCTCTTGTTTGTCTAGCCTTTAATATATATGTACTCCTGCATGTGAACTGGACTTGTGGCCTTGAACTTGTGCTCGGAATGTGTGGTGACTTTGTGATCCACCTCGAGCTTGCTTTGCTTTCCTTTGCTTGACTGGTCTTGTGACCCCTTGTTCTCCCCCACTTTGCCTATGGGGGTGTGTCAGAACATTATAGCTTATACATTTGTGTAGGCTGTAGTGGTGTAGCCCATAAGGGGTACAACCCAATTAGGGCTAGTACTTGTACCCAACTGTTTCATAGTTCATTCATTCCTCGTTTCTTCTCACCATAATCCCTGCAATGCCTGCATTTTTCAATTTTCTTGCGTATCCGCACTTGGATGACACTGGAAATAGAAAACCAGAGAGGCAAAGGCGGTGCAATTAGGGAAAACTATGATGTGGGTGGGTGGTGAACGATGTGAAATGCATTGGAAGTGATCGAGAGTATGGAAACCTGGTATGCACAAGCGAGAAAGAATTCAAACGAGGAATCATTGGTGAGGCATGAAGTTCATCAACGTTTGGATACATGGAAAAGTAGCAGCGCCCTAAGGCGCCTCCAGCGAAAGATAACGTACTGTTAGAAGGGTTGCAAGAAGCTCTGAAGTCCTTTCACGGGCCAGAGAGTGGAGAATCTATATTTTGATGGACCACACAATCCCCCCCAATTTGCCAAACGCATGAAGTTATTCCAGTCAATGTTCCTGGTAGGCGATGGTGGAAGAGTGCATGTGCGATTGGGTGCAATGATAGCAATTCAGTCCGTTAACCAACTGGGATAAAATGACATGTTTTCTTGGTGGGTCAACGCACCCATACCCCTTAAGGAAGACAACTGTAGCCCTTGGGAATCCACTTCGAGTCATTTCAGCATCCACTTCCAACACAGGGAGGGGGGGAGGGATAGATGGAGGGAGGGCAGAATCATTGAGAAAGAGACAGCAGCCTTGGTTAGATGCTCTCAAGGTTGCGGCCAGCGTATTGTAGACCACTTTGATTATTCATGGCCTAGCAGGGTTCTCCATATGGCACGCCTAAGTCAGAACGATTATCTTCCCCACGCCACTCTCATTCCCCACTCCTTCTCTCTCTCCTCTTCCATCTCTCCCCCTCTGCCCCTCTGTCTCGCCCCCTCTCCACACATTTCAATGTAGCTCTAACATGGAAAACATCCTTCCCAAGGAGGCAGGAAAGGTGCCTTTAGTTCGCTGGGAGTGAATGAAGGGCGGCAGATGGGCATGGGGCATGGAGCATGGGGCATGTGGCATGGAAAACCCAGGAGAGATGGTTTGTGTTGCGATCAGAAGTTGATCGTAACCCAGGATCTGCTCTGGTAGGTTCGCACGTAGTAGATAGTGTTGGTGGGCCCGTGACCTCAATAGCAGAGTGAATGTAAAATGCTTGAGATGATAAAAACATGCAAATACAACGATATAAATATGAGTACAAGGGAATTCGAAACGACCTAACTAGCCATGTACTCTAAGGGGTACATTCCCTTATTCAAATGCATCCCAACCGTTCGGCGCGTACAGTTTCGAAACTGTTCCCGCCAAAACCATCCTCCTTGCAGTTGTTCGATGCCGTTTGCTTCCGACGGTTCAGATGTGCTGTAACCGTCCGACTCTTTGATTCAATTCCAACCGTCTGACGCTTTGCGTTCGTTCCCGATATTGTGCGTACCTCGCTACGGTGAGGAGTGCTTAGTAATATCGAATGTTACTATTCGTAACAGTTTGGACGCTTTCAAGGAGAATAAATTGTCAAACAAATATGCTTAGGTTATTTATCTAGGTTGTAGTGGGGTAGCCACTATGAGGTACAACCCCTTGTTCCTATTTTGTACCCAACTCTCTCGTAGTCATTCATTCACTGCTCCTACTCTCTTGACATAAACATGAAGGGACGGAGGAAGGGCAGGATATATGCAATAATCAGATGTTCTATTTGAAAAGGATTGGAATCAAGGAAGCAGTGGTCCAACCACTCTACAGAACCACATCTCGAAAAAATGGTTTTCTATTGTAAGGTGCTCACTGTTCTGCCGCACTTTGTTGGACCATGCTGACATTGCGCCGGTACAGGAAAGTTTTGAAGCTAGCAGGAATGCAAGAGACATGACGTGGCACAGTTGACGGTTTCGAGTGGTGTTGACCAGGATTAGACGTTGACTTGAACGAGCCTTGGGATGACAAAACAATTTGGATGTTGGAACCTCGAAACAGATTTTGTTTTTGGGCACGTTGTAAAAAAAGAGTGACTCCTGTGCACCACCCAGCCCGGGCCGAGAGGAATAGCCATTTGCAGGGTGAAGGCCAGGTAAAATCGGCGGATCACTATACTAAGCTGAGTGAAAATCGACGTACTCTCTGAAGCTGAGGATTTTAGCAACTTAGCCAAAATCTTGGCCTGTCATGGACTTAGCCCTTTTTGTTGCCAAAACTAGTGCGGCGTCGTTCTTCTCTCAACCAGAGAAAAATCACGAACTAACTTCAACTCTGCATTAAGGTGTGTGGCAGAGTTCATAGACAATACATCTACAATACTCGGGCCGCGCCGGAAACGCACAGACCCTGCCCCAGCCGTGCAAAAAAAAAAAACACCACCCTGAGATGGTCCGAGTTCTAATCCTGTTATCAGGCTATTTGCAGAGTGGGCTCCAAAATCTGCCCGGATTTGCAGAATAGACCAAGTAAGAAACCCTGCAAAGATTTGCCCTGCTCGGGATTTGCCGTGGAGACCAGTTGTCCCCAACATGAACTTATGCTTCAAGAAGGTACAAGCATAAGGACTCAAGAAGATAACACACTACAAAACGTGACCACGACTTGCACCCGCAACCATACTCGAAGCACTACTATTCAACTGTACACACCACAAAGTAGACATAACATATTTACATTGTTAACTATAAGGCCTTCAGCATTGTACTCGCTTCCGGTAAAAACTACTTGCAACTGGACAACCCATCGCTAGAGTTCATCCCTTGGGCCCGAGCAAGCTCCTTGGCGAAGTCAATCTCTGCAGATGAAGACTCAAGCTCGCGATCTATCTTTTCCGCCATCCGGTTAGACTCGGCCCCAAGGAACTCATCCTTCATCTCAGTCAAATCTGTGAGTATCCGGTTCATAGATGGGCGAGAAGCAGTGGGCATGACGGTGCAGCTGATGGAAAGCTTGGCCATGCGGAGCACCAAATCATCTGGTGCTTGGAGAAGGGGATCCTTGAAGGCCGAGACGTCACCCGCCGCCACCAGAGGAGCCACCTGGTGAATTAAGGATGGGAAGGAGGATGTGTCAACTGGTGGTTGGAACTTGAAAGCAATAAGCTTCCCTACTTCACTTACAACCACTGTCAAGAGTTGGTATTTCTGTGCGTGGGTTGAAGATAGCGCAACAGAGTTTTCTAGATTGTTTCCAGAATGCAGGTCATTACCTTTTTGGTGATGGCAGAATCATACGAGGACTATGAGCTCACCCAGGTTTTCAGGTTGTGCTGGTCTGAGTCCACCATGTAGACGGCTTTGCGGGCTGTTAGGACGGTCAGCATCACGACTCCAAAGCTGCGGGTTTAACAATGGCACAAATGAGGGCGTGCAAAGCCATGCATGATTTGGAGGGATGATAATGATGCACAGGGCTGTAGATCATGATCAAAGGAATAGACATGAGAGGAGAGATACAGACAAATGTGCAACTGTACTTTTCTGTGACCTTATGTAATCTGGCTGTGTGTGCAGTTGTTATTCATGCACATCAAGAAAACTAGAAAAGGTGACCAGAAACATCCACTCATCACCACCACTCAGCCTCACCTTACGCATCTTACAAACCAGTGGATATCAGCAGTTCCCACGCACATCACCCATGCCTGTGCACATCACCCATACCTGTGCACATAACCCATGCCTGTTCATATCACCCACACCTGTGCACATCACCCATACCTGTGCACATCAGCCATGGGGGTGGCCTTCTGTGACTTGTAGTAAGCCGGGTCCACATAGCCCGGTGTGCCCATCACCCGCGTGGCAATCACCGACGTGCCCTCACCATGCCTCACCAGCCCAAAGTCCGCTATCCTGGCCTGTGCTTGGATGGATTTACGCACAATAGCAACACAGAGCAGGCACAAGGAAAAGGACAACAGAATCACAGCATACTGTAGGCTTTGTTTGTTTCCCAGAAAGAAATAAGAAAAAGAAGGGTTGGTACGGCACTCCTCCTGCACCTGCATCTTGTTGTCAAGAAGCACATTGGCAGGCTTGATGTCGCGATGCACGATGCCAAAGCTATGCAGGTACTGCAGCCCCTGCGCCATGCCGATCATCACCTCCAGGCGTTGCCTGATCGTCAGCTGCTTGGGGGCGTCTGAGGCATGATGGATGCACCAAAGGGAAAACACAAGAATCCCAAACCTTCAGTTGTTGAGACTGGAAACGGAAGCACAGAGGGTCAAGTGTGCATGAGAAAGAGTTGGGTCAAAGGCAACAAAGCTAAGAGGAATAGAGTCGATTAAAGAACAGTAGAGTAAATTAGAGCAAAGTGGAAAATAGCGGAAAAAAAGTGACTAGAGTAGAGTGGTAAAGAGGGTCAAGTGTGGAAAAGAGTGGAGTATCTCACGGGGTCCAATCCAGCGCTCGAGGTCGCCATTGGACATGAACTCATAGATGACAATCTGCTCGATGCGCTCCGTGGTGTGATTCATGTCGAAGCAGTACCCCAGCAGCCGCACCAGGTTCGGGTGATTCTTGGTCGCCATCTCGTTCACCTGCCATGCGCTCAAGCACATGCAAAGGGAGCAATACACTTCCCTCTTGGTATTTATGTACGTGTCATTCATGGCCGTGGTCCCATGTATGCGATAACGGAATCTAGAACCCAAGATGTACGCATGCGTGCAAGGCGTAAATCAAAGGACATTACAATACGTGCCGAACATTTCCGTACTCTCTTTGGATGGGATTGGAGTATTGCATTTGCTTTCTCACCTCGCGCTTGAAATCATTCGTAAGTATCTTGGCGCGTTTGACGGCCCAGATCTCATGGGGAGCGGTGGGGTTGGCGCCCTTGTACACATCCCCGAAGCTGCCGCTGCCAATGCGATTCGCCTCCGCCCACTCACCCGTCGCTGCCGCCAACCTCCGCCAGCGAGTACTGCCGGCACACCGCTGGATGTGCCTCCGCCACCGCTGCTGTTGCTTCTTCTTGCCTAACGGCTGCTGCTGCCACAGCAGCAGCCGCCATTTCTTCAGCTGTCCCAGCCTCCCCTGTCTCTGTGTCCATGTCACCAGTTTCTGCTCCTGCTTTTCCTGCTTCCACGTCTTGCTCGTCCTTGCCCACATGTTCTTTCTTCTCTGCCTTCGTCTTTCTGGTGCAGTAGACCCAGACCGCCAGCAGAAGGAGGAGGAAAATGAGTGCGAACACGCCACCCACGACAATGCCAGCAGTTTCGCCTGACACTGCAAGTGATGGCATGATGGGTGGTGGATGAAAGGGAGAGGGGCAAATTGTTGTTTGAGTGGTCACATGCAGGCAGCGGCAGCAGCAACAGACGCTGTGGTAGACAGAATATCCAGGTACACGTGGTGGAAGTGGTGTGTCCACGTGGCATGTGTACAAAACAGTGACGCGAACATCACTTTCCGTGTCACTCCAGTGTGACATTTTGTGTGGAATTACGCAGTTTCGACTGAAACTTTCCGTGATTTTCAAGTAACAAACGCCTTGAATCTTTCATCCATGACGGGCACGGTTCATGACATCTTGTACTTGCATTTTCCGCGATCGTTCCATATTTAAGTCGTGCAAACAAAAACCAGTGTCAGACGTGTTGGCGGGTGGAAACGAACAAAACGCTATCATCCACTGTAGATAGACTGCGCGTGTAAGATTCTGGAGCGCGGATCGTGGCAGGGCGAGGAGGAGAAGCGAAGCAGAAACAGCGGCGTCACGCCACGTGCCATCGCGCCACTCACGACAGGGGGATACTACTACTCACTATCGTCGCTCTAGCAAAACGACTGCGTGACGGGGGAGACGGACGGAAAATTCGTCGGCGCGGGGAGTTGAAGGTGGCTCAATGGTGTCCGGGTGTGGAAGAGGAGAGCAGTGCTGCAGCAGATTTTTTATGTGCGCTTTAGTGGTCTCAAAATGCCACAAGAACTTATTGAAATGCTTGAGGGTGAAACTGGAGAGAATGGATTGGGTTGGGAGAAAGGGTAGGGGAGGAACGCAACTTGAACGAGAATTTGTTTTCCAATTGTACGGTTCCCGCTGTCCCGCCGCGCTCAGCTGGTCCACGCTGACATTGCGACGCCGAGCAGGAGAAGGTTCTGGTGCCAGCGCGAATGCGGGATACGTGGCGTGGCAAAGTTGTCGATCTGGAGTGGAGTTGACTCAAAAGGACCTCGGGATGACAGAATATGCCCAGCTGGATATCCACCTGGGGACCCGACAGACCTCAAAGAACCACCAGGAATTCCCATCTTACGGCGCGATAGAGACGCTGTCGATACAGATTCATCAATTGGAAATGAGGGATTTCCACCCCCCTTTGATTAGCAATATTACTACAACCATATGAAAAGTTTTCAGTTCTTCCACTAGCTGAACCCCTTTGAGATTTGCAGGATATAAACAATGTACAATACTTCTCGAAAAGGAAAATACACATATTAAGTGAGTGAGGCTGAGGCAATACAAATGGAGCGGTGTGAAGTATCTGCCAGGCGGATTTGCCGTTCTGTAGCTCAAAACCGTGACCTGGGAAATCTGCCAACACGCAAGCTCGAAAGCATAGCTGCAAAAAAAAATCAACCTGAGATTAGTGACATCAACTTGTGGGTTAAAAGTCAATGGTTGGTAAAAAGGGTGTGTAAAGGATTGAGTTGAGTACACTCTTATCTTACCCAGGTTATCACGCTGAGATATGTGGCACTTAGATCGCAGGGTTGTGTCTCCCACTGATAAGTTGATTGCATTGAGGTGCTTAAGTGTTGGTTGCAAGGTTCTTTTCACCCAACACATGCATGCACCACATAGATGGGGTAGCACACAATTGCTGGTGCTGCTTTTGAATGTCTGCCGATTTGTGTTAAGCACAGATTCCCCTGCTGCCATTTCTCCTGCACCTGCTCCTTTGCTTGCTGCCATTTCACCTGCCGCTTCTTCTGCCCCACCACCACAGCACTTCGCAAACAACCATCCAGTAACCCTCCCTGCTCCCCCCCTCAGGGCCTCTGCCTTCTCCCGCCTCTCCTCCCGCTGCTCCTTCACGCAATTCTAAGCGATGCTATGCAATCACCAGCAGCAGAGGAACGAAGACCACAGACGCAACCATAATCCCTGCGATGCCTGGGTTGCTTAGCTTGCTCATGTACCCGGATCTGCTTGACACTGGAAATAGAAAACTAGAGAGCAACGGAGGTGCAACCACGGAGAGCTAGGATGCGGGTGGGTGGTGAACGAGGCGATTGGCATGGGGGATGAGCGATCATACGGAAACCCGGTGTGCACAAACGAGAAAGCAGTTAAGCAAGCATGTATTTTTAGAGCATGACATTTTTTTCCGGAAATGTCTGGATCCACGGAAAAGCAGCAGCGTGCTCAGGCGCCTTTCGAGGTGCCTCTTATGTAAGCAGCAGCAGCAGCAGTATGAGGCATGATAACGTACTGTTGAAAGGGTTGCAAGAAGCACAGAAGTCCTTGCACGGGCCACAGAATGGAGAATCTTTATTCTGTTTTACCACGCAATCTCCTCCGCTGGCAGGACACGTGAAGCTATTCCAGTCGAGCTTCCTGGCAGGGGATGGTGGAGGAGTGCACGTGCCATGAGGAGGGGAGGGGACAGAGGGAGGGAGGGAGGGAGGGAGGGAGGGAGGGAGGGAGGGAGGGAGGGAGGGAGGGGAGAACCATTCAGAGGGAGCAGCCTTGGTAAGATGGACTCAAGGCTGCTGCCAGAGCATTGTAGACCACTTCGATTGAGTCATGCCCAGCAGGGCATTCCATACAGCATGACTCAGTCGGAAAACGTTGTTCTTCCCCACGACATCGTTCTTGTTCTCCACTCCCTCTCCCTCCCCTTCCATCTCTCCCCCTCTCCTCCCCCTCTCTGCCCCTGCTTCCTGCCCCCTCTCTTCGTTTCAGCGCAGCTCTTACAAGGTCATCATCTTCCCCAAGAAGGCAGGCAGGGGGCCGGACAGCTGATTTCCTTGGAGCTCGCTGGGGGAGGATGAAGGGTGGCAGAGGAGAAGGGGCATGGGATGGGGCATGGAAAATTCAGGGGAAATGGTTGGGCGCTTTCAAGGTGAATGGTGTTATCTGCCCATGATGCGAGGTGTCTCAGATGTAGGTCAGATGGAGAGACTGAGTCAGTCAGAAGCAGCAGCAGCCAATCGAAAGTGTGGCCTTTTCTCTCTGCCTCTGGAGCATTCCCGAAAGACTTACACTCCAGGAGCGCCGTAGGAGCGGGAGATGTTGCCTATACCCAAAGGAATGCTGCCTGTGAGCTGATTAATCGAGAGGACCCTGCATCACGATGTATACATGTGCTTACACGAAACATGAGCGGGCAGATGAGGGCCTCAGTATAATTTATTCCTGGCCATCTTTTGTTACTTTCTAACCTCCACCCTTATTTACTAGCCTGCACGTGGTGGCCTTTCTTCACCTTCCACTAGCATTAAAATAAAAAATAAAAAAAGCATTAGCGTCTAGCCTAATCAAGTGGACAGAGCTTGTGTAGGGGATGTAAGGCAGATAGATGAAGATGCTTGTGATTCATCCCATGTTTTTGCCTTATATGTTTCTCTGTGAAGGCTTACATGTGAGTGAGGTTTGCGAGTTGTGAAATCCACGAAGGAATGCTGCCAGTGAGCTGATTTCCCGATAGATCACTACGCACAGGATATTGGGGAGGATAAAGAGTAAAGTCAGAGAGAGGGAGAAAAGCTAGAGTGAGAAGAAAACGAATAGAACTAGAATAGCCGATGAGGCAAGTGAAGAGAGGACGAGCGGACTTACTGATCCATTAACGTCGTCATGCTGGAAATACTGTCTGGTATGCTTCCCGTGAGCTTGTTGTTGGTCAGGTACCTGCAAGCAATGGCACATGGCACCGCACCGGCGGGGCAGGGCAGGGCAGGGCAGGGCATTCCTCAGCTCACCATACAGCGCTTCCCCACAGACGCACAACGGGCACCAGGAGCGGTGAAGGGAGTCAAATGGAAGCAACGCGCCAAGGCGGCACATGCACAGTCGCGCGCACGTAGTGAGACACGGCGGTGGTGGGGCGACGAGAGGGGACGAGGCGGGTCGTACAGTCCGGTGAGTCCAGCGAGCTTGCTGATGTTGTACGGGATGCTGCACTGCAGGGAGCGACCTTCCAAGTTCCTGGAAGAAGGGAGTCGCACGATAGCAAGCGTCATGCACTCGCCATGCAAAAGCCATGCAAGCGCCAATGCCGTGTCATCCAATGATGCCATGCCAAGCCATACAGATCCATGGAACGGCAGCAGGCGCAGTGAGGTGGGTGACTTTCGGGAGTATCATGTAACAGGTGTAAGCAACATTGACAACAAGGAGCATGTGGCATAGAGCGCAGATGCGATGGGATTCACAGATTGCAAGGCGTCGCCGCACAACAACTAAGTAGTAGTAGATACATGTTGCCATGAAGGAACATAATCTTATCCCATGGGTGATGCGATGGCCATGATTTCTGGCTTGATGCGATGCGATGTGATGTGACTAACTCACAGCGAGTTGACCATGCCGCGGTCGTTGCAGAGAACGCCTTTCACGGAGCAGTAGGACGAGTTGAAGGAGTCTGTCAGGCCGCAACTGTCCCGAATTTCTTGCAGCACATTGGCTGCGCAGGCACCCACAGGAAGAGTGACAAGGGCAGGGCTAGCCCGAGAGAAAGTTGCTGGAACAAGATCATGTCGTGGGCAACGTCTCAAGAGACATCATGCAATACATCAAAAGAAGCTGTTGTGGTCGTCTCAGCCTGAGCCGCAGGGATTGAGGGCTAACCGCACCTTGAGAGGTACCGCACCTTGAGACCTCTTGTAGGCCGTCGTGTTGCACAGGCACGAATAGGGCGAAAAGGAGTGTATCGCGTCGGGGCATGAAACAGCCACTAAGCTGTTTTGGCATAGTAGTAGTAGTAGTAGTAGGAAGCGTTCTTAGGAGAATTTCAGGATGAAAGTAGTAAGATAGCTTTACAAGAGATCATATGATGGCATACATTTCAGAGATGCATCCTAATATACTAGGATACTAGCATGGGCGCCTCGAGCTGGTCGCTCAGGTCGCCATTATTATTCCTAGAGCTAACAACAGCAAGGCATAGTCACTATGATTATTTACAAGAGATACTAGCCTTGTTGTCATATCCTAGAACCAATAAGCATAGCCTAGGAATTCACTAAACACATGGGCAGAGACTATTTGTCTTGTTGTCGTCCACACTTTAG